GAACACCAAAATATCCCAGCAATCGCCAGTAAATCTAAGCAGGAACGATTACTACAGTCTATACTATACTACAATACCATTTTACGCATTAATAATAAGTGCAGGTGCACTGATTCTATATATACTATATAGAAATTACAAGTTGAAACCAACTGAAAGTACGCAGAGGAATACAGAAGAAGACCATCCTGAATCATTAAAAATATATGCAGTTCCAAGCGCTGAGAAGGTTAATCCCGATCAACTACCAGCTCAATTCACGACCAAGGTCTTCCATAGTCGCTGTTCTTCGGGGGGAGATGTTACGCAGCCCTAATCTAGGCAATCTGCAACGTTGTATCAGTTTACGAGAATCACGAGGCACCGCGTCAGCATAACGTGTGTACTGTGTTATATTACCTGGTTCCAATATTTTACCGTGTGAATTCATTATAGATTCAAACTTCGAATTAGAGTCACCTTTTTAGTTGTAATAATTAATTGTAATAATTATTGTAGATTAAATATGTTTTAAATAAAGATTGCTTTTTTTGCAACCTCTGGCTGGAGCCCACATAATTAGTGTGACTTCTGTTGTTGCAGATTGGATAAAAAACAACTCATATTGGGGTTGTAAAATCCTAAATAAAACACAAATGAATTTTTAAATACAGTTGTGCCAATGAAATTGACTATTAAGCTATGCGTAAAAAACTATGTTTTTTTTTTGTTATTTTTACCGTATACTTTCAGATGAATTTCGTAAACAGCTGTTATATTGACATTACAAAAAGACACTTAAATTTTATTTATTCGAATAGATTCTCTACTTTTATCACGTAAAATTCAGAGGAAAATAAAGGCACGATTTCTCTATTGCACCACATTTCGTGAAAGAATTCTGAGACTATGTCCCTTGATAATGAGCCAAAATGTAAAATAATAACATTTTTATTATTTTACATCCTACATCTTTCGAAGTTTTCGAAATTTAACCATAAGGTAAATTATATAAATACGAAAGAAATTATAGTATATAATAGAACATTAACGGCCTTATTTATTAAAAATGACGTTGATTTAAGTAATGCTTTCTTTTTGAAAATATAAAGAGGCAGATATAATATTCATTAATGCTTAATTTAACTAAGCGATAACCAACGATCATAAGTAAGACCGTTAATGTAATATAATATGCGAATGTCAGAAACAAACTATTCAAGTTCACAATAATAAAATAACTAATTTTATTCAACAGATCAAATTAACCTTGGCTTTTAATCGTCGCGCGAAGCCAAGTTTTACCAACTTTCGCCGATTCGAAGCATTGACGATTATTTGAATGGACCATCTCCATATTCAAAGAACCTTGACAATGAAAACGCCATTCAAAAAATATGCGTTGAAACCGCACATTGAACAACGGAAGCGTACATATTCGAAAGCTACGTGTATAGTAATTAAATAAATTTACATAAATTTTAATTTTAAGCATCAAATTTGTACAAAATTTAACTTTCGCAATCTAAAATCCCTTGCTTAAAATATGCTATTTTTCATAACACGAGTTGTTTTGAAAAATATTTCGCAAATTTCCATATCAAGTATATTCGTAATTTAATTAATAAGAACCAATTATACTTTGTAAACATAAAAAACAGGTCAATGTTACACTCAGATTGTTTACAAATTAACTGCAATTCGTTTCTTAGGTATAGTGTTTTTTGACATCTGTATTTTTAAAACATAAAAAAATTGGTTCTATTTTGATGGTTAATTTGGTTCTATTTGACGGGTAAGGCATGGAAAAAACATCTTCTTCATCATCATCGTAACAGCCTTTCACAAGTCCACTTTTGAACATATTCGCGGTCACATCCTAACTACTACCAACAGTCGGTCATAGAAGACGTCTAGATGGGGCAATCGTGCGGTGCGATGCGTGACGTCATGCGGGCGGAGCGCTCCCGAGTTGCCTTTTGTCAGTTGGGAGCTCTCCGCTGGGGCTGTCGAAAGTAAAATGGTTCACACTACACGTGCGATAAAAAACTGTGAATCATCCTCGTTTAAAAATAAACAATTAAAGTTTCATCAGTTTCCACATTCACATACACAGTAATTTGTTTAAAAATAAAATCATCTTTTATTTTTTTATTGCTTCCCGTTCTGACAAGCCTAGCAATTTATTGTTTTCGTCGGCTTTTCCGACAACATCAAACGCGATGACTGACTGTATGTTATTCTTAGACTGTGATACGGTCCTGAGTCAAATTGTACTGTACAGTTATTTGCAGTACAGTACAATTGACTATTGCAGTTATATTGTCGGCGTGTTTCGTCAACATCATATTCAATGTATACTGCACATTGGATTCAATGTACAAAATTCATAAAGTGGAAGAATGCATTCCATTTTAATGAAAACAGATACGTAGATAGTTTGACTGTTGCGAATTGTGAAGATGGTTTTTTTTTCATCAATGAGCGAAACATCAGTTTCACTTGTTTTTTTTTTATATAGGATAGGGCGGCCAAACGAGCACACAGTCCACCTGATGGTAAGTGGTTGCTGTGGCCCATAGACATCTACATCTATCCTCAATGACGAATCAAAATGTAGATGCGTTGTCACCCGTGAAGACTAAGATAGAGTGCCTCGTTTCCAGTAAAAAGGGTCTCCGGTCCTCTATACTCACCATACGAACTTGACTCTACTACGTTTTAAAGTAATCTATAACAAACGAAAACACCAGAAGCGATAGAATTTTTCAAATAGAATTTGCGGTGATCAAAATATGTAATGAAACTGCAATTTATGTAAGTATGACGCAGACGATTCATCTCAACCTGGGAGAGACGTGCTCCAATTATATTAGTAGTATAGTTGTAGCACGAATGGATCGGCTCGACCGAGGCAGGAACAGGCGCTCACAGAATACCAGCGTAAAATAATAGCTAAATGCTGCGGTGTTTCGTATGGCGAGGGTAGAGAACCGGAGACCCTTTTTACGGGAAACGAGGCATAACATGTCTCGTCTAATGAAGTCAACGCTCCGTCCCCCTCGTGCTCTAATCCAGAATCCCGAAACCTTTCAGCTCGAGTTACGTAACCGCTTCCAGTGCCTAGAAGATTGCAATGCAGTGGACGATATGAACGACAAGCTCGTGGAAACTGTCCATGCGGTCGGAGCTAAGTTCTGCAAGACCCGCCGCAGAAGAACACAAAAACTCTCCGATCACACTCTTAATCTCATGGCTGTTAGACGGGAGATGAGGCTGCAATCGTCAACAGATTTGACAGCATACAGGCAACTGAACAGACAGATCTCCAAATGCATACGGCGAGACTTACGCAACTTTAATACTGCTCGTATTAAAGAAGCGATCGAGCGGAACCAGGGCTCCAAAGTCTTTGCCAGAGATCTGTCTGCCAGAAAGAGCCAACTGTCAAGGCTGAAGACTGAGTGTGGCAACATCGTTTCCGGGACACCTGAGATTTTGAGTGAGATTGAGAGGTTCTATGGGCAGCTGTACACATCATCGTTGGAGCCACACGCAAGTGTGAGTAACGATCCAAGAGCAAGTCTTATCCGACACTATTCCGATGATATCCCGGACGTCAGTCTAAGCGAGATTAGAATGGCTCTCCAGCACCTTAAAAACGGCAGGGCCCCAGGCGAGGATGGAATTACAGCGGAGCTTCTGAAAGCGGGTGGAACACCGGTACTTGAAGTCCTTCAGAAGCTCTTCAATTCCGTCCTCCATGGTGGCACTACTCCAGAGGCGTGGAGCAGAAGTACGGTGGTCTTGTTCTTTAAGAAAGGCGACAACGCTCTCTTAAAGAACTACAGACCGATTTCCCTTCTGAGCCGCGTCTACGTGCTGTTTTCGAGAGTCATTACGAATCGTCTCGCACGCAGACTTGACGACTTCCAGCCTCCCGAACAAGCCGGTTTCCGAAAAGGCTTCAGTACCATAGACCACATACATACCCTGCGGCAGATTGTACAGAAGACTGAAGAGTACAATCTGCCACTTTGCCTGGCGTATGTGGACTATGAGAAAGCCTTTGATTCCGTCGAAATTTGGGCGGTGCTACAGTCCCTTCAGCGGTGCCAAGTTGACTGTCGGTATATCGAAGTGCTGAAGTGTTTGTACAGTAGGGCTACGATGGCTATCCGAGTACAGAACCAGAGCTCGAAACCTATCCAACTGCAGAGAGGTGTAAGACAGGGTGACGTTATATCCCCGAAACTCTTCACCGCTGCATTGGAAGACGTTTTCAAGCTACTGGACTGGAAAGGATACGGTATTGACATCAATGGCGAGTACATCACTCACCTTCGATTTGCCGACGATATAGTCCTTATGGCAGAATCGCTGGAGGACTTAAGCACTATGCTCAATGACCTCAATAGTGCCTCCCAACGGATAGGTCTTAAGATGAACATGGACAAAACAAAGATCATGTTCAATGTCCATGTCACACCTATGCCGGTAGTTGTTGGGAGCACTATGCTCGAAGTTGTTGACGAATACGTTTACCTGGGACAAATAGTCCGACTAGGTAAGTCCAACTTCGACCGAGAGGTCAATCGACGGATTCAACTCGGCTGGGCAGCGTTCGGGAAATTACGGCATATCTTTTCGTCAGGTATACCTCAATCTCTAAAAACTAGATTGTACAACCAGTGCGTGTTGCCAGTGATGACTTACGGATCTGAGACGTGGTCCTTCACTGCTGGCCGTATGAGGACGCTTAAGGTCGCTCAGCGAGCTATGGAGAGGGCTATGCTCGGAGTTTCTCTGCGTGATAGACTCAGAAATGAGGATATCCGCAGTAAAACCAGAGTGACCGACATAGCCCAACGGATTAGTAAGCTGAAGTGGCAATGGGCCGGCCATTTACCATCAGATGTACTGTGTACATTATATAACAGAAAAAGTAGAAACTGCACTCAATGAATTTATATGTAATTTGAAAAAAAAAATATTTAGAAACCAAGTCATCCATAACTTACCACATTGATCTTCCCGAGGATGTGAGTGATCTGATCCTTGCTGCACATTTTGATATTTTAAAACTTTGATTTCCCAAGTTTCACATTTTATAAATCGTCATCATCACTTCTGATAATTAAACATTGTCATAAAACACTACAAAAAATATGTTTACACATAATAGAGATAACGTTATTTTTTCTTGAGGAAAACCCATTTCGGTTTTTAATACGGGAAAAAATTCTTTATTTAATGACGCAATTTTGCTTACAATTCATGTACCGATAACATACGTTTATGAAGTAAGTACCTTACACCTACCATTTGAAGCTAAGTTATCACTTGAGTTTATTAATTTTCATGAAAATTTACATTCCTAGAACTTCTATATACTTATACAACTTAAAAAAAGATAATAAAAAAGTAAAGTATAGCCTATAGCGTCCCACGTATAAGTTTTTTTATAGAATAAGGGTGACAAACGAGCGTACACCCCACCTGATAATAAGTGGATGCTGTGGCTAAAAGATATCTACATGTTTCCTCGATTAAGAATCAAAATAATAATAGTAATAATAATTTCTTTATTTGACACTTATAATAATTTCATACAACATCATTGAGCCCTGACTCCCAAACTAGGATACCCTGTATTTCAGGAGTCAGAGTGCAAAATTTATGATTATATTTTTATTATATTTAATTTATAAGTATATATATTAATAATATATAATTTTTTTTATAAAATGCAGGTGCGTTGTCAACCCTGGGGACTAAGATGGAATCATGCTTCCGGTAAATGGAGTCTCCGGATATCTACACTCACCATACGAAATACAGCAGCATTAAGCTGATATTTTACGCTGGTATTCTGTATCCCGGTCGAGCCGACACATTCGTGCTACAACCATAACATAGCTACCACATGGCTCTACTACGTAAAAGTGTTATGGAACGATTAGTCCGCTACGCTGCTAAAATACGTGTTGGCAGACTCACATGATCTCGAAATATTTCATTCGTCAAACATGAAGATTCCCTCATCGTATTGTCCTTCATCGCGCTTGTGGTAAATCAGTAATTTTTATAAAAAATTTAGACTGATGCTGAGTAATGATTTAAAAGCTTAGTGACGCCGTTTATACGCATGAATGACTTTGGTACTATACATTATTTGTAGAAAGTTTGATTAAAATACATTCGCAATCGTCAATATGCGGAACAGACGGTTAAAAATATTAATATATTTATTTATTATTGAGATTTATACCTTTATGTCTGTGTGCATCGTTTAAGACTCGTTAGAATAAGATTATGTTATCTCTTACGACGTAACTTTCCATAAAAATATTTTCGACTAATAGAAAACGCAATGGTACACCGTTTTATCGAATATAAATGGTTACAACGGCTTTTCAAAGTCATTTGTAGTAATTTCTAATGAACGTCAGCGTTCTTTGTGCTATAATAAGATTTATAGAAATCATTAAGAAAATTAGTCAAATTAACGGTATACAAACATACGTGGCGCAAATTTACGTGGTAGGTCCACACTACAGGTATGTTATGGTTGTAGCACGAAGGGGTCCGCTTGATTGGGGTACAGAATACCAGCATAAAATAGCGGCTAAATGCTGCTGTGTTTCGTATGGTGAACGTAGAGCACCGAAGAGGCATTCTATCTTAGTTCTTAGGGGGTGACAACGCAAATACATTTTGATTCTTAATCGAAGATTAATTTACATGTCTAGGGGTCACGGCTTAACATCAGGTGTACTGTGTGTTCGTATGTCACCCCCTTGAACGAATTAAGTTACCCCCATTCAATAAAAATAGACTTATCCCAAATTAGAAAATTTGCATCTTTGCTGTACGTTATAGTCTTCTATTAAATTTTGCGTAGCTACTCCACAATATAGAAAAGTTTACGATTTTTCTTTACCGTAACTGCAGGAGGTAACTGTTAGTATATGACATTATACTGAATATGTAATAAATAAAAAGAGGTTTCTAAAAAACTAAAATAAACGTAGAAATTTCGGCGCATTTTTATAGAAACAAAACTTAGAATTAACAAACTAATTTAATTACCAGATACAACATTTTGTAGTGTGCTTAAATTTATTTAGACTTTTTTTCGCTTACTTAAATTTTTATTATCATTTATATAATTACTTTAGTCAATTACAAAGACTTAATAATGTCGCCATTTATTGCTGCTACAATTTCTGTACAAAACCTACATTTTAACAGTTTATAAAAAACTATGCTATATATATATATATATATATATATATATATATATATATATATATATATATATATATATATATATATATATCCTCAAAGACCAGAACCGTAGTACTCAGCCGCGAAAGATCTTTCCTTAAGATTGTCCTAACAGTATTGTGACGAAAATCAGCAGTACAACTAAATTGGGCTACAAAAGAAAGTATACGTTACCAATACGAGCAATGAATAGAGATACGATCAAATAAGTGGACCGTTCATAATTACAAACCCATAATGAGACTTACGAAATTGTAATACGGCAGGCACGTGTCTCGGATTTGGTCGTTGCAATAAATAAATAATTTAGACCAATCAGTGGTTAATTGCAAATATTCGTATCACAATAATTTGTTTCCCGTACTTTAAAAACTATTATAAGACCTATTGAGTGTATTTGGTAAATATTATTTTAGATATAATTTTGTGGTAATTAAATTTATTTTATACATTCTCATTCCAACTTCCACTTTATACGTTACATACATGCCATAATGCCGCTATATTACAGGTACAGCACGAATGGGTAGACCGAAGCCTTTTACACTCTCAAAATAACAACGCAAATTGGTAACATAATTCTCCTGATTTCCAAATGGCGAGTGATGAGAACAAGTGACTTCTTTTCATAGGTAACGAGGTATTCCATCTTAGAATAAACGGGTGACAACCCATCTGCATTTTGATACTCAATCAAGGATAGATGTTGCCTATGGGCCTGTTTGTTCGTTTGTCAATCTTATTCGTGTGGCAATAAATTTCTTAAAAACTAATAAAATGAAGTTACCAATGGGTGCGTTTGGCAGAAAAAAGCGCTAGCAAGCGCTTACAAGCGCTAAAATAGTTTTCGGCCAGGACACGATTGCTACTTCAGTAGCGCTGACACAATCCGCCATTTTGCTTATTTCATTTGTTTGTTTTGAAGTAGAGTTTATAAGTTGTTTTGTGCAATATTAGTTTTAAGTAATATAATGACATGAATAAACATATACATGTTATTAAAAATTCATGATTGGTAAGTTTTTAATACGAATACTTTACAAACATATGTTTAAATTAGGTTAAGTTCCGCGGTTAAAACTAATATCGTGTCCTAGAGGAAAATAGCTACTTACGATTTGACAGCACTTACCGCTTACGATCGCCATTTTGTTTACAAGCGCTTGCTAGCGCTTTTTTCTGCCAAACGCACCCAATGAATCACAAAGGTTGTTAAGCTGTTATTTGATACAAAGGATTTTTTTTATAGAATAAGGGTGCCAAACGAGCACGCAGTCCACCTGATGGTAAGCGAATGCTGTGGCCCATAGACATCTACGTTTATGCTCAATTAAGAATCAAAACGCAGATACGTTGTCACCCCTGAGGACTAAGATGGAATGCCTCATTCCCAGCAAAAAGAAGGTCTAAGGATCTCTACACTCACCATACCAAATACAGCAGTATTAGATTGCTATTTTACAAACAAATAAATAGAAAATAAATCTAAGAAAGTGAAGGGGCATTTAAATATATAGTTAAAAGCTAAACTTTTGAGTCACCAAAACCATTCCAATACGATAAGTGAAATCGTATACTTTTATAATATAATCTCCCCGTTAGGTGTATATATTTTTTGTCGTTAGAGAACTTAGCATAAGCGGCTGAGAACGCAGGTTTAAATTGAAACTTGTATTATTTTACTAATATACACGATGATGAAGGTCACAACAATGGGTCAATGGGAAAGCTCACAATTCAAGTAAGCATAATCACAGCTAACATTGAAACCGGTATTTCACTTTCAATCTTATTGCTAACGTTAATTTTGTGATTCTCCAAAGCCCTTTGAGCCAATGATAGATTATTATAGAAATTTCAACCGCAGATTTGATTATTAGTTTAAATAAGTAAAAAGGAAGACTATTAAACTGACTTCTTTTAACAGAACAGTAGAAGTACTCAACCCTTTATTTTAAGAGTACAGAACAGTAAATGTGAGTTTTATTGCCTTTAAAGGTATTAGTTATTTCAATATTTTATTTTATTTAAGGATAAAATATATCTTTAGTAGAGTACGTGTAGGTAGTTCTTGATAAAAAATTATATCTTTAAGTAAAACACTTATGTCTATTATTTAAATTGTCAGAGCTGACCTTCATCAATGTAACAATACAAATTAAAATTGTATTGAATTGGATGAATACCACAATCATAATGTGAAGAGGCAAGATTTAATATGTGCAAACATGACTGTCTTGTATAAAAAGGTTAATGTTTTGATAAAGGTAAGGCAAGGCAAAGCGACCGTGATACAATGCGGACTGAACATGCCATTTCAAATACATATATTGTAATTAAGTAAGTAGCATTCAGGCAATCAAGATTCTATTCATATTTGACGCCACTGGAAGCCTCACCCACAAAATTTTCAATATTGGTCAAATCTATAATGTAATAGGTGTATGTACTTATATTAAATTTTATTTTTTCATTTAATACACCTATTATGTACATATGTTTGCCCTTGTGTGTTTTTTGTAGGAGAGGGGGCAAACGAGCATGCGGCTCAACTGACGGGAAGTGACTACCGCCGCACATGAACAACTGCAGCATCAGAGTAATTGCAGATGCGTTTGCGGCTTTTTAAAAAAGAGTAGTCTCTATAGATTGCCTCATAAAGACGATAATTGCCATAGTTGCCACGTTTGGAATTAACCGCATCTAAATCAGAGTCTGTACTATTACCGCATCTAAATCAGAGTCTGTACTAGACTCTACTAAATTTTCCTTTTCATCT